GTTTAGCTGTCAGGGTGTAACAGCAACAACAGCAACAGTAGCAGCAACAACAACAACAACAACACAATCAACAAAAGCGAAAAACACCAGCAATACCAACACCGCCGCCACCACCACCAACAACAACAACGACAACAATAATATCAGCAACAACAGCAACAACAACAGCGCCACCACCACTACCACCACCAACAACAACAACATTCACAGCAGCAACAGCCGCAGTGACGGCGTCAGCGACAACGACAACGACAATCACAACCCAACCCCAACCCTAACACTAACCTCAACGACTTGCGGTCCTTTACCGATTTTGCAGGGTTTCTGGGATCTGTGTACTTGAGCCATCGAGGCTAGGTTTTGGGGTTTCGTGCCCGGAGACAGAGAACGACAGGAAGGAAACCCAAAAGTCTGGAACAAAGAGATGAGATGCGAAGTGCTGCCCGTTTCCAATAATCCGGGCGAGAGGTGCAGGGTAGTGTAGCGACAGTGCTTTGACGCGCGACTGTTGATGGAGCTGTGCGTGCTTGGGGTGCTGTGTTCAAGTCTGGTTTGCAATGGGGGTTGATGTGCCAGGAGTTCGTGGTTTTTAGATTAAGTACAAGTGGTGTAAAAGAGCTACCAGGCAGGGTCAGTTTGAGTCAAAGCCGGTCTCGGATTCAGGGTTTCGCCTCAAGCAGTTGAGATATGTTGAGATGCAGGCCATCAGGATTCCAAACCAAGCCAGATCCTGATAGATCCAGCCCCTCACACGCGAGATGCGTAAAACGTAAAAAGCTACAAACACGGCATCATAACCCGCCAATGCTCGCCTTGAAGATTTGAACGCCAAATTTCCCAGCCTTCTTAGACCCCAAGCCTGGATACTTAGACCCTATCCATACAGTACACCTTGCACGCAAACTCGAAACCCCAAGTCCACAATCCTAGACCTCAAATCCTTGACTCTATATCTTGTTGAACAATACCAGAACTGGTCACTGCGACAGGATGACCCTCGATCCGGCCGAGGTCCGGAACTCAGCGTGTTCAGCGCGGAGCACCAGCCATGAGTGTAGCATATGAGGACTCGAGAGTAGGCTTTCTTCCCCAAAAGGTGTAGTTGGTACACACCATGCGACGACAATGATGTGGCTAGCGTTGGGTGTAAACAGCGTAGGTCAGTGTCCACGCACGAATCGTGCAGAAAAGCGTTCTCCGGGATGCGGCTCCAGCTGTGGGGTGGAGCATATTTTTTTGTATCACGTCCCACAATTTGCAAAGGATCGTGGTGGACACGGGCCTCCAGAATGCCATATTCATTGTAAATTTCAAGAAAAATCTATATCCTTCGTTGCCCTACAGCTTGAAGACTGAGGCTACCTTCCCAGACCCGAATACTGGACTGTGGACCTTAACTGCTACCTCCACGATAGCTTCCATTGATATCCACCGTGAGCGGCCAGTAGACTTCGCTGCCAACCCTCATCTCTAGACCAGACTTGACTTGATGTTCTCTCCCTGTCCTCTCTCTCCCTGTGTTTGTCTCTCTCTCTCTCTCTCTTACTATATACCTCGGGCCCTAGCCTGTTTCGACCCGACACTGAACACGCCCTGCTTTCCAACGAGGCATGGCGTCACAGATACAACCGGAAGGTCCGCACTCAACGCAGAGCTCAAGGGACCAGTCCACTGGAGTGTTCTAAGGGTTCTTGGGGTTGTTGGGTTTAATTGGCACGACTCTACTTACTCAGAGCTGTTTGCAGCTCCAACTAGATATTTGCAGCCCCATCTGTAACTGCCCGTGAAGCTTCCAAGTAGTCACTCCAGTACACTTGAAACCGTAGCACCCTCGATTTCCTGCGCCGTAAACCCGACACCGTAAACCCAAATCCTACTCTGCTGGATTAAATCCAGAAACGCCATGTCAGACTCTTAGACCTCTAAGCGAGGCTGTATGCCCTGTGGCTTGGCCAGGTGTATCACGACATTGCGATTGCGGCGGATGTTGCAGTAAACCCATGGAGGTGCGCTTTAAGGCTTTAAGGTTTAACTGATTTCAACTGACTATTGAGGCAATGGGATTAATCAGGGTTTGCGATCCACGGCCACATGCCCGATGAATATGTTTGTAACTCGTATAGGGACTATTACGGTAGGATGTGTGGTGGTCTCCTTGGGGTCTCCTTGTTCATGTCACACACCTGGGAGCTGCGAATCTAAGTCTCATGCCCAAACCCAGATCCCGAAAGATGTCCCTTCCACCTATCACCACCCGGTGTTGAAGCCTGGGATGCTTTGTTTGCTTTATTGTGATGGGCACGTATGCAAACTTTCGGCCCACTGGAGCTTACAACGGCATCATTGTAGCGCTCATGTCCAAGCTTCTTTCGTTTGTGTCCGAGGATGAAGGCGGCGTGACATGCACTTGTCACTCAAGCAGAGTACTGCGCTGGAAACTGAGGGCTGTGCCTTGCTCCTGGCCTGGTTCGTGGCGATCTGCCGCGATGCAGGCAACAGGTCCTTGATACTGAAGCAAATCGAGAACTGCCTTCTCGAGCTCCCGCACTAGGCAAATGCTGCATATGCTGCTACGTTCGGGATGCCGCCGCCAGGAAGCGCATGCCATTCACAATCCACCGTAGGTCGCGTAAAAGGGCACGGTTATCCACGTGTAAAGTTCGCCGCGAGTCCGGGGCCATAGTGCCGTTTTACACCTTTCAGCCGTTCGTGGCGAAGTCATTCGGCAGGCCCGGGCGCATGGCTTCGCGAGCCAGCAGGGGGATGCAAGCCGTAGCCCGGCACACACGAAGTTGAACTAGTTAGCATAAAGGAGCTGGGTCAAAGTTGTCGGCGGTTCACCCGAAAGCGGCAGATGACATGAGAAACTCTTGGCAAGACAGGCGCGCATGAAACTCATGAAGGTGCCAATGCACAATCTCCTTGGTGTCCTCGAGTGGGCAAGCCAAGTCAGAATTGGATCCTGGAATGCGGCAAGTTAAGAGGGAATCGAGCACTAACACTGACCGGCGCGGAGATGCATTCGGTTTCGCATTGCTCCTGACTTCTGTTTGCTTTATAGGCTTCAAGGTTGTTGCCTCGAGAAGGAAGGGGTGGTGACCGCTTTGATTTATGCGATGTCCCGAATGAATTCCCAATTAACACGGCAACCCTGACACAGATCGTACTTGCAAAGCGCGCATCACTCCGAATGACATGTTGAACAACCTTCCCATATAGCGACGTAGCACACAAAAACTATAAAACCCGGCAGTTTATCCCAAATCCTCTATGCCCTAGATAGATTCATTCGGCCATAAACATTTGCCCTTTTTGAACTAAACCCTTGAATCATGGACTCGAACCCCGACGCCTGACCCCTAAACTGAAAACTTGAAGCGTCAGGAGTGGTCTCTCAGCAAAGGCCAGAAAAAGCGCTGCCAACGCTTCCTGCGTAGGCCAGGGTTAGGTTCGGGGTTTAATTTTGCGGGGTATCGACAGTTTGCGGTTTCGGTTTTGCTGCATGCGGCTGCAGGGTTTGCAGAGAACCCCTGATGCAGCTTGCAACAAACAGGTCTATACAATGTGTATGCCCCTCCCCCTCCAAGGTTACAGATACCTCCTTGAGAGACGTGGTTCTGATGGCCAAATTGGGAAGTTGTTAATTGGGTGACTCTGATGAAATTGTGAAGTCTCGACTATCGACTATCCCCAGCACAAGAAACTGTGGCGCTTTGGTGACCTGCCGAGGGTTGGATCTATTGCACACTTAGCTGACATGGCCTCGTCCTCGACCAATCGCCACTGATGGCCTATCGGGTAGTGGAGTACTTCGTAGAGTCTCGTTTTGCACGTTGAGCTTCGCGGTGAACCCAGCGCATCTCGACCCCCGTGTGGTTATTCTTTCAGGGCCAGAAACACTGCTCTGGTGCACTTTTCTCACCAACACATGTGTTTCAAGTTTGTCGTTCACGTTCCGGCTGTCCTTCACCACTGAATTCTCCGACGTTGTTCGAGTTGCGCAAGTTGGACCATTTGCGGAAAAAATCACTCCATTCACGGTTGCCTGTGCCTCTAATGCCGTTGGCGATTTGCAAGGGCAGTCGATCTTGTGGGAATGTCGTGAGATGGGGCTAACGAGCATGCTGTTGGTCATCATCCCATCCACTCGGTTTCTCGGAGCTACATCCACGACGAATCCATGCATGCCACCAGCATCAAGTTTCGTTCTCAGAAAGGAACGAAATCTTCATCGCGAGGTCTTGTGCATTTCGCGGTGGTAAGGAGCATGTTCACCTTCACAATGGTGTCGGGATGACGAGTAACCTTGATTGACAGTTAGGTAGCAAGGCAAGGAGAAACTTGTTGAACTCACCAGCTGATTAATTACTCTTCATTGATTTGCTGCAGACTATTGCCGTAGGACGGCACGGTTTCAGGATTTTGTATCCGGATTGAGCCTCCCTTTTGGATTCGCAAACCTGGTCCCCACACCTACCATGAATCAGAAATTTATCAGCAAGTGCGCTTATGATTCCACTCTAACGCGGAGCTCCCACCAACATCCCTAAGCCCTAACGCATCAGCTCGAACCTCTGGGAGCGCAGAGTCTAAAGATTTGTGGCACTCGAGAGGTATAGTCTGGAGCATGTTCGCTCGACGCGCCCGAGGGAAGCTTTACGGATGCCCGAATCTCTGGACATGCCATGCAAGGCAGCTCGCCGAAGTACTGACGCGCACCTTCCATTTTTTCCAGTCTGCGAGATGTAACGAGATTTGTGGGGTGGTCGAGGTCATCACTCGTGAGGACCTCTGGGTGTTCCTCATAACGACGGCTTGTGGTTTGTCGAGCCTGAGATTGACATCGGGAAGGATCTCGAAGGTGAGGACAGAGTGAGTGAGTTCCTCACCGCAATGGCTTTGGCTCCTCGGAAAGATTCTTTCTCCTCCTCAGAGAGCTCAACGGCTCTTTGCCTCGTGCTTCCCACAAGCGCAAGGTCTTGGAAGGTTCCGTCTCGACCTGTCTTGCTCTCTGGAAAGGCCCACTTCAATCGTTGCCGGCCTGGTCCTTCACATCGGGCAATCAAGCCCACCAGGTGTTTGGATGTTGAGCAGCCACCCCTGAATCCATTCTCGGTTCTGGGGTTCTTCTCTGTACGGACATGTCTTCAGAAAGATTGCCTTCTGTTTGATCAGCCACTCTGGGAAGATCCATGGAGTCTGAACTTTAAGAAATTGCAATACTTAACAGTTGCTTCCACAAGGTGCCCTGTCGCTGTTGCCCTCCGCAGCTGTTGCGGGGAGCGCCTTTCACACTCTCTCTGTGACGAGGCTCCTTGCCGGCCCGAGTAATCCGCCATGTTTCGCCAGGCTGTCTGCGTCTGCGGGCTTTGTCATTTTGGGCGTCTTGAAGACGCCAGTAGTGCATCATGTACCTTGTGCAGAACCGGAGCAGGGCGCAGCCGATCGCCAGCTGCTATACTGCCCGGCTTCATGTAACTGCCCCACTGCCGGGCTGGCGAGTATACCCGAAGGACGGTGGAAATCGCTTCAGCAAGTGCCTCGCTAGCAATGTCCAAATGATAATGACTCAGCTTGGTGATAATTTCTGTCCGGTGCCTATCTTCCAATATGCCTCGCCAGGAACAATGCTTCCGATTCTGGAGATGATGGCAATCATCCTGGCAATGAGCAAGTGCCGCGAAGAGATGCACCGTAGGACCCACTGCCGGGCGAGACTTAGGAAAACACTTGCAAGAGAGGTCGAACCTCTCTCGGGCCGGACGAAGGCCCGGACCAGCCTTTGGCGGCCACCAACTTGATCCAGCAGATATGCTTTCTACCACATCAGCGATTGTTCACAAGAACTAGCGGATTCTTCAAACTGCACAAAGGCGTTGGCCTCCCCTCCGCCAACCCTTGTCCTTCAAACGGCTGTTGCATTGCTTCTGCTGCTCTACTCATCGTTTCCAGCCGTCACCCCCGCTGGACCCTGTTGCCCTGACCGTTGTGCGAGCCCGGCAGCGGAAGTATGAAAGAAGAGGGATGGGACATACACTGAAAGTCGCCACAGCTCGTTCGTTATTCAGATAACAACTGAGCTACACTGATTCCTCGGACCTTTGGGTGCGTGCCTTTTGATCCTTTCGAAGCTTTCGGTCGTCGGTATCGTCCCCAAGCCCTGCATCAACCCTGAATATCGAATCCTAGATGAGAAATCGGACCCTTGACATGCTAGACTGCTAGAGCTGATCATGGCAGGAATTCTGGATTTGGCGACGGGTGGGGTCTTACCAAACGACGCAGCGCAACCGCCGAGGCACGATTGGAGTTTAGTGGCTTACGGTTTAGAGTTCTAAGGAAGCAGGGTGATGCTTGTCATTCACATATTAAGCCCTCGTTCAGGCGCGATTCGGGCACAGTCCTGCGTCAAGTGCAGAAGCCGATTCAAGCATGGGCGGTTCCAGAGAGGATTCTGGGTTTGAAGTTTCTCAGGGGTGCGGTTTCGTCTTACACTCTTTGTAGCTTTGGGCTTGCAGGGTCCAGTTTTTTCTGTGCTTACGATTTTTGGGGTCTAGGTTTATACTGTTTAGGGTTTCACCCACGGTCTTCTTGTTAAATGACACAACCCCAAATGTGCCCTCAATGACCAACATGCAGTGATGAATGTTCTCATGCCGCACGGCATTGGCTCAAAGCTGGACATGGAGATCTCAGGGCTAACCGTAACCATCATCCCTATCCCCAGTCCCATTCCTTCTCCTTTTACTGTCAATCCATCTTTCTCCCTGCAAAATTAAGTGCTGTCGCAAAAGAGTCTCCACGAAACCACTGATTTTGTGGAGCCCGCCTCTAAGCCCTGAGTCTGACGCCGCTTGCCCGTGAACCCTCCACATCCCCATCCTAAAAACTTAACCCTGTTTGATGACCAGCCTGAAACGCTGGCGGCAAGGCGCAAGCATTGGGCCCCGCTTACAAGCCGAGCCATTGGGCCGGGTCAAGACCGAGTGCGGGTACCCAGGCGCTGGAGGAGTTCAGCATTTAGCGTTGCCGGGGCTCGTTTAAATGTATCCGAACGATCATTGACATTGCAGCACAGGTGCGACTTCATGGTGTCAAAAACAAGTTCCGAACGATGGTCGCAGGACAACCTACCACATACGACGTAGATAGATACTGTCTGTAACCATGAGTCAGAACGAAGCCCCACGCCCCAAAGTCTTTCCTCAATGTAGACACTACGTCTTTGTCGATCCAGTTTTTGCAATGCGTGTAAAAACCTTTACAAGACAAGCCTAGACTAGACACCTCATCTAATGTACATCAACCTCCGAATCCTAAGCGTTAAACAAATTGGGCTCAGCCATAGTAGCAGCTAGGGTAAAGAGCCTTCTGAAGACGAACGTCAGTCTCATACTTCGTATGTTTGCGCATTTCTCGCGCACTATGCAACGTGTTGGAACCTCAATCGCGAACCCGAACACCACAACCTCGACCCCAAAGAGTGTATCCCATATGGCCCATATACTTAAGCTCAACCCATAAAGGCCAAACCAAATCGCTCAAACAGCCTGCACCCTAGAATCCCTGGAATTCCAAAAGTCTTGAATGGACATTCCTGGACGCAGATCATACAAGATCCCATGATCATACAAGACCCCATGATGCGTTTGTTTGAACAACTCGCACACCTCGGAGAGCCCAACTTAAACCGTTAACTAGACGTATGGGCTTCAGTAAGAGTGCTCCATGAACTTGCTTGGGCCATCTTGGGCCTATGTACCGCTCTGGGCCCCGTGCGAAAAGCTCAGGTCATGTTGGACAAGCCGCCTGGTCAGCTCGGCGGCATATGCAGATTTCTTCGATGGTTTGGGTCCTTTTCTCACTGTTTCGTGAGGGATTCTAGTTTGGCCCTACCGGGTTAGGGTTGAGGGGGCATTTCGCATGTTGAGAGGATCGGTCCAGTGTTTGATGCATCTGGAAGAGGATCCTACTTTCTGAGCTTCCATGTCAGGATCCTTTTCCTTGTGCTACAGTGCTGTTTCAAGCAACGCCCCTTTCTGACGACATAGCTGACGCAGGAGAATTGACATCTGAACTGATCCGAAGCCTTCAGTCTATAAGCCATGACATTGGAAGTGTGTACCAACTTGTAAAAGGCCCACTTGACTGTATCATATTTGTTGAAGCCTCTCGGGTCTCCGACCCAGCCCGGTCTTGGTAGCCTCAACACCGATTTGCCATTCCTTCAACGCTTTCGGGATCCTGTACTACGACATTGGGGGGTGTCTGGTCTGGGTTAAGATTCTGGATGCCAGCGCATAAAGGCTTCCGATTTGTGTGTTAGGGATTGCTTTGCAAGGGGTTGTTCGATTCAAGCCTTTAGACGTTATGGGCCAGTTGTGGGTTTGCAGTTTCGCTCCATGCGCGCTCTGGGTGTCTCACACTCAGGGCAGCGCCATTTCGGGATGAATAAGGCCACAGTGAAATTATGGGTGCAGTCGGTGGTCCAGTGGTCCTCAACGGTCTAGCTTTTCCATGGTGTTCGGTATCAGGGTCCATCATATATCGAAGTCCAAGACGACGATTAGCAGGGATTCACTTGACCCTTAGGCAGCGACAGTCAACCACAGATCCCAAATGCCCTAAGCCGTTCAAGCTGCTCAGGGTTTAGGCTTTAGAAGTTCAGGGTAATATATACGTAAGCTCTAAACAGCAGGCTATCTGGTCGTTCAGCTGCAGAGGGGGAGCTACTACTCCAAAGATCTGAGCGCGCTCGACAACGAGGCGGTTCGGGTTCAGGGTGTTCCCTTGCCACCTTCATACTGCAATGTGTCCACAAACACTGCATGCCTCACATCGCCCACGTCTGTCTCACAATCCGATCAGGTTTTAGCCTGAACCCTGAGCTCGACAGCGCTTTGAAGTTTGGCCTAATGATCATTGATAAAGCACTTAAACCGACTTCTCCACACATGGGATGCGCCGCAAACATTTAAACTGCTCTGCACTCCCAAGACCCGACAACATCAAGCTGTGGTGCGTTGATCGTCGCCAGATTAATTAAGCACGCGTACTTACAACCGAGTTCTCTGGGTTACAATTGGAGGTTTGAAGTAGAGCAGTGTTATGTACTGTAGGCCCTTGGTTTGCCAAACCCTTGTCAAGTCAAAAAGGGGTCTCGGCGATCAAACATTCTATGGCCCTAAGCCTGCCAAGCAGGACTTCGAGAAATACCAGCTTTTTGGCCCGGCACCCAACTTGCCCTGTCAGGATCTCAGAAAGCATCTCACTGCTGGTGGTTTACGGTTGTCCTAGGGCAGCGTGTATGTGGGGTTAACGAGAGTCGGGATTGTTGGGTTGCCCGCGTGTGTTTGATCCATGTTCCCATTTCTTTACGCTGGTTCTTAGTAGTACTGTAGCGGCCATCTTTCGTAGGAGTTAGGGTTTAAGGTTCAGAAGACCATCACGGCTGAGGTCAGTTTTGCAGTGTTTTGCCTGCAGTTTCGGGTCAGTGTTTTTTAGGACACCAAGTGCGCAGGTTTTTTGGGTTCGCATGGCAGTTGGTGGGATCGTACAACTCGCGAACGGTCGTAGAGATGAAAAGACATGGTGGAATCTGAGAGCCACCCTACAAAGAGGCATGTCCATACAGCAGCCACTGCATCTACGGAAGTGGGAGCTGAGAGCGGGCTCACGTATTCAGCATTTGAGGCAGTCTTGCCCAAAGTTACCGTGGTACCTTTGGTATACTTGGCAGATATCGATACCACAAGTGTTGGGGCCTTTTTTTTCGACGTATGCCCAGCTTGCTGCGGGCAAACCAAGCTTGAAAGTTGTTGTTTTGGATTCGGGTGAGGCATCAGGGCTTGGGTTCCGTAACGTAACGGAGCTCACTTATCGTCGAGCTCCCATCACTTGGCAATCATTTCCCTTGAAGCTTTGCTGCTGCCTAGCGGACGGCATGCAAACACATTCATTTCCCGAGAAGCTCTCCTGCCGCCTAGACGGTATGCAAAGACAAGCATGCCAGAGGTTCCCTACACCGTAAATCTGAGCGTTTGACTGAGTTCGACACTGGCCGGAGGAATCAGGATTCTGAGCATTGAGTGCTGTTCTGGCGTTCAGAAGTTCAGTTCTTGTCAAGATGCGTGCATACACAGAAATACAAGCCAGACATTGCAATCACCCGCATCCCCAAGTTAAGACGGGCAGAACCGATCACAGATTGGTGTCAACTTGTAGGGAATGGGTTCAGGACTCAGGACTTCAGGCTTCAGGGCCCCGTTTACTAGCCTGAGACCTAGGCCCTGAGCCCTGGATTCTAAGAACTAAGCCGCAGAGCTCAAAAGCTTACTAAACGCCGTGAACCATTTCTTCAGGCTTCGGAAAGCTGCTCCAAGCTTTGGCATCGGACGCGGTGGCTGGTCCAGAAATCCAAGTCTTTCAACCTTATTCGTTGTTTAGGGTTTAGCCAATTCTTTCGGTAAAATAGGAGGTGCATTTCTCGATTGCCGTGTGGCTGGCTGGCAGTGGTGCTCTCTTGAAGCGTCACATGTCGGGTCCTGAACGTGTAAACGGTTCCGTCAAGGGTGCGGAGCCGAAGGAAATCATCTTCGCAAGTTCCTGGATGAGGATGAAAGTCATGTAGATGTAGTTCTTGAGGGTTCACTTTCAAAATCCCTCAACCATAGACTTCCGGTTTGAACGCAGACTTTTGGGCCTAGCAAGCTTTCAGAAGCAGTTGTTCGGATGGCATTGCCATCTCAAGCCGTTGGGTGCGAGCAGGCAGGGTTGTCGCACGTGCAGCTACCTGACGAAGCACCGCCGGATAATTGGGTTTTGGGGCTTGGGCGGGCTTAGGCTTTTTGACCATGTAGTTTCGAGTTAACCAGGCTTTCCAGGTACCTTGTGACGGAGAGCACCTCGCCGTTCACCGCTGAAGCGTGGGCCACATCGGCCACATCTTGCTGAAAGAAATAGGATTGGTCTTGTCATCGGTTCAGGCATTACACCCTGCGTGGCTATACCGCGTTAATTATGAAGTCGGAGTACAACAACTTTTGGAATCTAGCGTCGATACGCTCATCTATGCATATCAGCATGTTCATCTAGTAACTTTGACGTTCATTAGTATCAATACTCTGGCTGTAAGAACCTCCTGACTAGTTTGCCTTTGCAAGCGACTGGCTCTACTCGGCCTACAACCCTTCGACCATGGGACCCAGACATAGAAAGCCCTCCTTGATCCCTGCGCCCCACACCGTGCCTCACCGAGGTGGCCGAGAAGTTGAGCGACCTGCACGGGTTTCGGAGAGCTAGGCCCAAATGGTGGAATCCGAGGAGGGTTTTGTGGGTGCTGAGGGCTGTCAGGGGTCAACTTAAGCAGGGATAGCCGTACGCCGGGGATAGGTGTACCTTTTGGGCCTTGTTTCATGCTGGTCCCAAAACGAGAGTATTGAAGTTTGACCCGCCATCCTTAACATCGTGACTTGGTAGGTGTATTTTGCCTATCGGTGTAGTTATTGGGTATTCAAGTTGGAGTTTTTAAGTTGCAGTAACAAGTGAGCATTCTAAGCAAACACCCGCACGGACATTGGTTAGAGTCGATGGTCTTCTATGTAGTACAATCATTTGATGTTGTGGGATTGAACAGGAGTCGGGCTGTCATCAGAAATTGGTGTTGTCTGGATAGTAGTTCTGGCGTTTTACAGAGTGCTCACCCGTAGTTCAACCTCATAAGATTTACTCGCTGCTCAGCCCCCGGCGTTCTGCATCGGTGGACACCATCTTCATCTCCTAAGCCAAGTTCTTCGCTGGACGATCAAGGAGGAGATCCACTACTCGCACTTCCTCGAGAGTTCTTTCTCCAGACTGAGAAGAGGAGCATGCTACAGCCCAGAAGAGCAGGAAACGTAAGGAATTTTCGCAACACGTCCCGCCGGGCGACGAGGATGAGGAGACGGACATTGTCGAGCTGGACCGAAGATGGCACGACGGAGCAGACTGATGTGGCAGCACATGGTGACACTGGCCCAACACGTTGTTCGGAGTTTGCCACGTCGAGCTTTGCAATGCTTACACTTGTGCATCATTAGCACCCGAGCACACGGAAAGATGCCAAATGGACCAAGCCGGTAACGGAGGTAGGCAAAGTCGCCGGTCAGTTTTTGCAGAGCATGGCTTCGTTGTTCTTGACGGACCAACAAGGCTTCACATTCTCATGGGAGGACACGAGTGTAGTGCTCACACTCGCAGAAGGTTCGCTGGACGTTCAGAAAGTGACAAAGCAGTGGAAGTTCCTGGACAAGACGCTGCCGGAGGACCGAGCACGATTTCTGGACGTGCTGGACGATGTTTCTTATGTTTGCACCAGGCACAAACTTGGAGAGAAGCGCAAAGAGGACAGCTTGAGGATGAGATGCCACTTGCTCGAGGCTCTGGCAGAAGTGATGGACTCGTCGGATGACACCCACTCTTGCCGGGCATCCTTGAATGTGAAATAAGCAGATCACGCAGCTCAGGAGGCGTTCAGGATTGAGGTTTAGGTTTCAGGATTCGGGGTTCGCAAAACATGATTTTATCCGGGAAGTTCGGGGCTTCAATTGAGCACTTCAACAGAATATTTTTGCGTGTTGCTGCAGGGGTGCCGCTGGATATCGTCAGTCGCCCTCGTCTTTCCGAGAAGACATTGCCATGTCATCTAATACTACACGACGGACACTCACGTCGACATTGCAGGGACAAGCTTTCACCGCGCAGGACACCCCGCAGGAGGACGACAAGAAGATCGAGAAGAAGGTCTCGAGTGACGCACACAGGATAGCGGCTAGCACGTATGGAATGATATGCCTATGTCCGGCAGGGATATGTGTAGCAGGGGGTCGCAGTCCAATCGACGGACATTCTGTGTGTCGTCGCAGACGCAGCGCACGTTGGTATTGACGATTGGCTCAACATCATGGTCTACAACCACACGACGGACAAAGTTTGGGCGTGCCCGCCGCAGACGCGGTGTTTTGTTTGGATAAGGCTACTTATGTTCAAAGCCGGCAGAGGCCCCGAGGTATTCCTGTCCCCGCCGTTTTCCTGCCGTTTGGGGGCCGATTTCCGAACTTTTTGGGTCCTGCCGTGAACCTTTTTCCGAGGGGAGGTATGCGTATCCCCGCTCAGGGTCGGTTCTGGGCAGAGGCTTATCTGTAGTTTATATAAGGAGAGGTACGCGTATCCCCGCTGACGTCCGCTTTTCGGGGCTTGTCTCGGCCCAGACCCTTCTGTCCATGAGTAGGTACGCACAGCCTGGCTTAAGTGGACCGGGAGACTGGCCACAGACCCGAAACCGCCCCGGGGCCCATTTTTGCTGCCCGAAGAAGGTACGCCTATCCCCGCTTAAGTTGGCCCACCACTGGTGCTTTATGCTTGCAACGCAATTGAATTGCAGCTCATGGTTAACAGTCAGTAGTTAACTGTTGTCTGTCGCCGACAGACCTGAGCATAAGATAGCTACCGAAAGGCCCCGTTCATCAGCAGGCTCAGTGAAACACGAGCATCGTGCACATGACATGAGACAATGCTTCTGCCTCGGTCTGAACACGTACACTTTTAAACGCACAGCTTTATTTTGATGTTTCAACCCAAGACACTTACAGCCCATGCCAGCAACCTGAAGTCTTAAACCCGCTGAGCAAAAATTTTGCGTTGCTTTAAGTGACTGCCAAACAGTACCATGCGCCACTGTGGCTGCCTCTAATTCGACACCCCGACACCATGAGACCGGAGTGGGTGTGTGCAAGCCAAAAATGGTTGGTTGTGGCTTTTGTTATTTGCAACCATCTCACGTTACATGTTGCAAATATGAGTTTCCACAGCCTGCCCGCACGACCCCAGTCGTCATCGGACCCGGCCCCAACCCCCAAGCTACGCGTATCCCCGGTGTACGGCCTTCTCCGCTTAAATGGGCCCCCAAGGCTTAAGGAGTGTAGAAGCTAAAGACTGTAGAGCTTTGGTGGTGCTGTGTGCTCATAGGTATTTGGGTTGGGGCTTTATGAGGCTTTAGAACGTTCGGGCTGCGGGGGTTTAATTAGGAGGTAGGAGTTTTGGAGGAGATAGAACTGCGCGAAACAAAGTCCTGTCGCTAAAACCCTTCAGGATGCTGGGAGCTTCATTTCTCGAATAACCCGAAGCCCGCGCACAAGACCTTCTCAAAATCTTGAACTTGACAAGCAGGCCGAAGCTTCAAAAGCTTGTAATTCGCCCTATGAAAACCCATCAGTTCAGCCCTTCAGATCTACGCTGAAGAGCAAGGCACTTAATTAAGGAGATACTGGGGGACCTGATGAGCATCAGTGTTCTGCCAGCCAGGGAAAGCTGTCGAGTGACGGCTCACGATACGGGACACTTGCAGGAACTGATGCGCACTAACAGGCCACAGGTGTTGCCCATCTAGGCACATTCGATGAATATCTGGTTGGTCTGTTGTGGGTGCACATCGTGTTGCTGCCGTGGCGCTACATCGTCTTGGCCATTGCGTGCGAACCGCATACGTGCCAGCTTCATGCCGGTTCCCGGACAAGTTTATGCCTCCACCCACGCTGCCAGACCAAGACGCTCCAAAACGCCGAACCCTGAACCTCAAGTCTTAATGCCTCAACCCAACACCACAAAGGTAATATCCGAAGCCCCGAACCATGAGAGGCTCCGGCCGTTTGGTATCCGAATCTACCAGCACAACAAGTGGTCTTCTGGCTGCACGTTGGAATGAAGCCTTTTTTCTGGGAGGGGAAGGTTGCGCAGGTCTTGGCGTATGTAGGGCATTGCAGGGAAGAAGCCCAATCCCATAGACGTATATGTTATACTCCAAACCATGCTATTTACACGTGAAGTCGGCGCAGGCTCCTTCTATATGGTTTTGCGGACTTAAGCGTCTGCAGGCACATCCCGAAACGTAAACTCATGATTTATCCTGGAAGTCCACAGGCCAAACCTGTAGAGCCCTCGGACACTAGCACCCTGGAGGCCCCAAACCCCGGATTAGATAGTGCTTAGGACTTAGGATTTAGGGAGCTGCTGACCCGTGAAGCCCACCACCTCTATGTAGCAACCTTGCCGACTGCATTCCGATGAAGCCTTCAATGATATCCAAAAACGTCTCATACCGCTTGACCTCCGAGGCAAGGAGCGCATGAATGGTAACGTGCAAGCCAAACCATAGCCTTCAACCAATCCGCAAACCCTGAAGCCCCAAACCCAAACCTCTCAACCGTAAAGCCATGACCCTGAAAAAAATTCCGTAAAAATATTGAAGCCAGATATTTCAAGATGAAGCACTTTCCAATGCAATCCGTAGACTGAAAGCTAGTCCTTCTGTGTTGTTGGGTTTCTGAGTTTAGGGGCTTCTTTTCTTGGAGTTTTAATTTGAGTCCTGTCGGTTCTTTTTCATTCTAGATCTCGGCCTTCAGAATTGAGCACGGTTACAAAATGTGTACGGTTTGAGCAGTCGGGGTATAGCATTACTGTCTGGTTCGAATGGGCCTCAAACGTCTTCATCGCGTGGGGTCGTGCCTGTTGAGGCGAAGGAATTCTGAAGTGGTCATCGGTCAAGTGTTAGGATGTATAGCCTAATCTCGTTGTAGCCTGTAGCTGAGGTAGTTTTGCGCAGCCCCTTGGGCCCTACCTAAAGTAAGCCTGGGTTTGTGTTCTGAGGTTTGGGGGTTTACCTGTAAACCTGCCATGGTGTTGCCGAACGGAGAAATATCAAGCCAGGAGTCGTCGAAGAGTAGAAGAATGGTCATCATCACAGCAAGCGCAAGCATATGGTAAATTCTACATAGTGCACTATTGATTAACACACTCGTAGTAATGTTTGTAGTCGAAGCTGATCGACATGGTCCTTCACCGGCAGAGCCGTATATACAAATTAAACCGCTTCAAGGTACCACTACACTGGCTCTCACACCGACCAGATGAGGTTCAAGCTCCTGGACAAAGAAGGACGGAACAGCCAAGAACCTCAAAGCCTGTGATTAATGTTGAATTTATTTCTCGAAAATCTCAATCTACAGACAGTGGACACGGTTATACACAATGGCCTATGAACGCCAACGGCCAACCTGTCCAAGGAAAGCCCAGTTCTATTCGACAGAACCCCGCCGAAAAGTGTAGGTCCATGCGGCCCAATCATCGGACTCACCAAAGTAAAACGACTCATCTTCAGGCTGCTAGAAGTCTTCGTCTTCGCCCACAGCAGAAGCTCATGCAGGAAATGGCCGACCGAAGCAGATGCACCGAAAGTCAAAACTGTTTTCCACTGTTTTTTTGGATGCCGATTGAATGAATTCCCTAGCCTGGGGCTCCACCATGGAAAAAGCATTCAGGGTTCACCGGAAGTCGCGATCGATGATGTGCAAGGAGAACCCCAGGATACGTTGGCAAAGTTCGAGCGTTTGCGCAAATGTGTTGTTGTTGAGCTCCGTTGGCTTTGTTCCCAAAACGAAAACCGGCCACCAAGGTTGCACCGTGTCTTCTGTGCCTTCCACCCCCGCCCGACAACGTTTTGTGTCCTGAGTAAGCCCGTCCTGCTACAGTGGTACAGTAGTGCAACCGTAAAGTAGAAGTAGTATTAGCACTGTTGTCCTTAGACCCCTTCAAAAGCAAGCCTGAGACCTGCTGAGACCTCGCAAGCCTTGCTTGGACCTGCCATTTAGCAAAAAGGAAAGTTTTGGGAGACAATTCCGTCCGAATCCCGAGCACATTCAAACGGATGCCCAAACAGCACCAAGTGTCCTAAATCAGCGCAAATCCGAGCACATGAAAGACGGTCAACTAATTAGACTCAGTGCAACATCAGAACACCCCAGCCGAATCATTGACAAATTGATGATTAAATAATAACATCTGCTTGAACAAAGGTTGTCGGACTGTATCCTCAGCATCGACCCCGGACATCGTCAGGTTACCTGAAGATGAGTATCGGGAGCTCCTCGGTAGGAAGTCCGGCTCGTTCCATAGTTGTAGCTGCAATCAGCTCAAACATCGAAACCTTAACTTTGAAGTTCCATGACCATTCTTCCCAATCGGCGGCTTGTGCAGGGACGGCACCGCAGTTTCCGTGTATTGTCGCTGCACCCGTACAGTCGTCAGAATCCCCAACAAATGCATCCCCAATAGTCCAAAGTAGTTCGCGCAACTGTCTGGCGCGTTTCGGAAGTGTGAATCTCAACGCCCTCAGAGTTCACGATGCTAAGTTGTTTGAAGGACCTACAGCCCAGGCTTGAGTCGCATGTTTGGCAAGGTGTCCCACAAAAGCTGAAGCAAGAGTTTGCTGATTAACGCAACGAAGCATGCCAACAAACAAAGAGTTCAACGAGCGCACTCGCAATTCCGGGATTTGTATTCGCATTCCTGCGCAGTCATCGCAAGCTATAACTGTTTCAGATACGTTTGATCACTCATTGGCCTTCAAGGTTTATAAGGTTTATTTCGCACCCCTCCTTCTGCCCTGCTTGACTCTGCAAAACACATAGGCGACGAAATGCATTCAATTCTGACCCTGAATACCCAAAAGAGTCCAACCCTGAATTCTGGTTGCCGTTTGTGTCTGGTCAGAGACTTCTAACCGAAATATCACAGGAAACCCCACGCAGCCGAAGCGGAACGCCAAATGACATTAAAGCATTTGGGAGCATGAACCCTGGGCCATGCGATTGTTTTGGAACCCAAACCTACAGAGCGGATGTTCAGAACAGCCGTGTGCCCCAAGCTGTAACGAAACTAATTTGAAGGATCGTGAAAATTGATGTGCTATCAGGGGGTTGGCTATACGTGCGTTATACAATTCATCATTTTAAACCGCAGTGAAGAGGCATAGTTCTACACGTGGAAGTACCTGGGCATCCCTAGGTGCCTTGAGCCCCAAAACCCTGATCTCATACTTCTTTTACCCTATTGAAATGTTCAGTGTTCTTGTCCTGTACGTCTATCCATCCCGAAACTTTAAGCCTCATCCGAAGACCCTAAACACTCTGCTGGCCTTACGTTAGTTAAGCCCCCTAGGCCTGACCTTTTCGAACTAAGAAGCCTGGTATGGTCCGGCTTTCGGGGTAAGTGTTTGAACATGGCTTCCATCTTGACACAGGACGGTACCGTTATCTACAAAGCCTTGTCTCCGTGAACTTGAACATCGGCGGCGACGAAGAACCAGGACCGGGTGGGAAGGAATTGGTTTTCCAAAAGCGTTCTTAGCAGGTTTCGAATGTGGGGCCAGCGACTAGCGTTTAGGGTTCAGAGTTTAGCAGGGTACTTTGGGTAGAGGGTCGCGGAGCGCGGCAACATCCGGTCCTTCCAAGTTTCTATCCCGGTCCAGTGCGGCTCCGCCTTGATTAACGATATGTGCCAACATCGGCCTAACACCATGTCCTCACCCCCGGTTGTGAACCGCCACCGCCAGCAAGATCATCACGACTCACACCATCACGACTATCACCGGCACAGGCAGCAGCAGCATCGCCAACCAGAACTCCACTACCACCCCCACTGTTGTCAAAGCCAGACATCGCCACCAACGCCGCCGCCGGCAACAAGACAAAACACGAACATGTAGGTAAGCCTTAGTGGAGCTTCCGGCACCCTACTTAAGGTTGTGATGACTACTTACGAAGACCGTGCTGCAGTGCTTTCGTTATGCTCCACCCATGAACCTTCGAGTAATTGGTTTCTGATTTGATGGGGTGCGGGACGCAGGGTTTAAACAATGGGATCATGCAGATAGTCCTCCTGGCCCCTCCACGGTGGGGGCCTTATTACGGCTTCGCAAACCTGGATCCATGGCATCAGGAGCTGAATTGAACCTCTCTCTCTCTGCCAGTCTGCCTTTCTTGATCATGTCTTCGGAGCTAGGTTTCGATCTTTCGTTTGTTCGCCATGACAGGTGACGCTGCCGTTGCAGGGCTTGAGTGGCATCCTGATTAATGTGCATTGCAAGACGTGGAGGTGAAGGACGGTACTTCCGCATGACCAGACATCTCATGTCCGTCTACAGTGGTGCTGGGCCAGTGATCTTGTGGAAGACGCGCAATGAGCAATGAGAGCTCAGCGTTCGCTGGCTGGAGATGACTGGAAGACATATTGCCATCCAAATGTTTAGTCTTTTTCGCGGTGGTGTTGATTGATTGTTCATGGATGCCATCACGACCTTGGATACACTCGTTCCACTTGTTGTTGAACGCACCGTCGATCCGGCATTTGCTCCAGTACCAATGGGTTCTTGACATAGTGGGCTCGTACTCGAAGTCTTGGTTGCGACAGGCAAGAACGCTTGATGGTGCACGATTGACTCGCTTGCGAATGTGTCTGGGGTCTTATAGATCGATGACTACAGCTTCGCGCAGGATGCACATGTCGTCACGCCTTGCCTCATTGTTCGTGCAAGCCTTGGTGCTGTGCACTCCACTTGGTGTACCGCCATCGCGAGCTCAGCAAAGGCGCTACCTGCATTCATTTCGCATCCATCCCCAGATTGTCAACATTGAGAGGGTTTTCGCTTCCTCCACTCAGGCGATGCAACTCCAGACCGCCACAGATCCACATGTATTTGGTTGATGGCCTTAGGTACAGTGCTTGAAGGAGCCGTAATCGTTGCAGCAGTGGACCATTGCCCAGCATGTTCAATTCCATGCTTCGTTACCTGATGTTCTCGATGGTTAGCTGATCGCAATGTGCACACTCGAATTGTTTGATACTAGTACTTTTTACTAGTACTTGGACTAGGACTTTTACGATTACTATTACTATTACGACTACTAGTACGATTACTATTACTTTTTTCTTACTATTACTACTCTGTATCTATGTACGTATATACATACATACATGCACACACACACACACACACGTGCATGTTTCTTGTCGAGCTGGTTACTTCGTTGCATCTTAAATTTATGAATTCATACTTTTCAGGTCTTCGTTTACATTGCATACACCCCACCTGTACGTAGCCGTGACCTTTCACGCACGACCTGTATTGAACAGCACCACTGTTCTCAGCAGGATCCATGGTGAATGTGGAGTTTGCAAACCTTGTCTCCAAAGTTGCTTATCTTCGAACCCCTTTCAGTGCGAGTATTGGTTGATACATAGACCCTTCGGGCTAAGGTTCAAACAATCCAAAACCGAATTGCGGAGGTCAGAAGAATATCGACAACCTCCTCAAAATCTCGAGCCTACGCCCATAAATTGTAAACGCTCAAACCTGGGCTCTAAACTCAAAACCTAAAGGCTATGCTTAACCCCTGCAGTCAAATCTTCGTGGCAGGATTTGGCAACGGAGGTGTTTTGGCTGCAGACTCTTCAACTTGAGAGGTTAGTTTTGGATTCGTGGTTTGGCAGCTAGGCGGATTTCAGGGTTGAGGCATGCTGATTTCGGAGAAAAGCACACAGGGCATGCAAAAAGCTCTGACTACGTCCCCGCGATCAACACTTGGATAAAACACACTTGAGTCCGATCAGACCCGGTGTCGCCCTCCTGGTGGTATGCCTCTGGGAGTTCAACGATGGACTCTGAAACATGTTGCTTCTTCGCCAAAGAGCTCAGCTAGTAAACGGTCCAGTAACACTCAGCACGACCCTCCAGTTCGGGTGAACTTAGTCGTGACCACAGGACTTGTCTGGTGTACACCTTCTCCTCGATGGGTCCCCGCCCCCACGGGCTCTGCCACGATGTTTCGCATCTGGGCTTGTTTGGGGGGTGAAGAGCAGCTGTTATTTTTCGGCATCGTATTACCTTGCCCCTCCCCGGAAGAACTCTTCGTTAGATCCAAGATGGGGTTTTTAAGGGGGATTTGAAAAGCACCCGGATATGGCAATGTTAAATTAGACAGCCAAGTCTTGTTTCTGCGCGTGGTGACCTAGTCGTTGTGTTCCAGTGTCCTAGAGAAAGGAACACTCATTCCGAAGGGCTGCCGTGAGCTTTGCCTGCTCCAGCCAAGCCACGACGCCTCGGATTAAAGATTGTCACAGACTTCAGCCCTGTCCCGTTTCTGGTGCGAGGTGTCGCATCATTCAGAACCCACACATATTGAATCAGTTATTGCGCAATAGCCCTTTATTGAGTTTTAGCGTGTCGTGCTCTCTGGATAATTTGGCATTCCATGAAAAACCCTACTCACAGCAATGCATCCAAAGCCCGGCACAACGGCGCAGGAAGCGGGTCAGAAAGAAATTCAGCCCTAAATCCAAATTCAAGATGATCAAAAGATAGTTTTGAGTTTCGGGCATCCCTTGAAACAGCCCCGAACCCAAGACCACAGAGCCCCAAGCTGCAACTTTCAAGCAAGTTTGCGGCATGAATGAGAAGCGCCGAGGCATCGGAAACCATTCATGGCATGCTGCCCCTGGCCGCAAGGAGATTCCAGGGACCATATGTGTTTTGCTGTAGCTACTCCTGTGGAACAGGATGTGCCAGGGTTTCCGGTACAGGCACGATGTCAGTGGATTACAACAGGCCTCTGTACGTGGTTCAGGCTGCAAGTCTTGTGGTGGCGTATATTCCCCTGTCTAAAGCAAAGAGGTCATGACTGGGTGGGTGGAGAGCTCTGGGCACTAAAATTGAAATCAACCTTTGCCTCAAGGTCCGCAGCAATCGTGTTCTGCAGGTAGAAGAGATCATTGAAGACATCATTGAGTTCAACTCTAAGACTCTAAGGGTGGCTGAAGAGTTGGGTTCAGAGCATCAGGGTTCAATTCTGCGCTTTATGAGTTTGGGGTTCAGCTCTCTACAGGCAGCAGCTGCCCGCGCTGCAACCTGCAAGTTTACCCTTGCGACCGAATCCCGACAGGGGCAGAGATGGTTTGGGCAGACGTCCAGGGTTGCAGATTTCGCCCTTCACTCCAGTCAGTTAAGCAGTTCTTCTCAAAGGAGTAACTGCAAGCCCTAAACGAAAACAGCCCGCATGCAACCTAAGCCCAGACAACACTCGAGGTCCTTCCGGGCCTGCGGCGTCCATCGGGTGCGCGGCTAACCATGCAGTAGCTAGGCCGTGACTCAATGCTTTAGCGACGGAGGTTTGGGTGTGCAGGGATCAAGAACCGCATCCTGCCATACCTCGACCGCAACGAATTTGTGCTCCCAGAATCGGGGAAACAGAGCTTACTCTTCATGCTCCTGCGTCTCTTGTCTAAGAAGAAGGTCATGTATGCACCGACGTACATCGATGTGGCTGACAACAGCTGGGTTCCGTCTACCGGATAAGGCATCGCTCATGCTGAATATGTTAAGCGGTTGGTGGCGCTTCTCGGAGGGGGCTTCATGTTCTCCCACGCGTTTCCAAAACTCCCGTGTGAGGACCGCAAGCGACTCGCCCTAGCTGTTGTAGGTAGTCTTTTCTAGCGTCCTAAACCTCAGACTGCGCCATCCCTATGTTCAGGATCAGCGGTCCCTTGCTTTAGTAACCGCCATTTCCTGTTCGCTAAGTTTGGGTGCTTTCTGAAGCCTTGCATTCCTACACTAGCATGGAGCCACGAAAGGCCCCCTTGCAAAGCTGCGCTCGCAAGCTTCGGGGAGGGGAGGCTAAGGCTAAACCTGAAGCCCTGTAAGCATCAGAAGCCCTACGCTCTACAAGCCCGGATCCCTGTAGATCCTAAGATGTTCAACCCTAGGATCCTTTATGCAGCAGAGCTGCCCGTGGCCGGGACCCCTTCTGCTCCTGGCTACAGCTGGGACGACAGCCTTTTGCCCACAAGCTTAGGAGTTGGAGGATGACGGTGATGTCTTTTGCCCCTGAAGCCTTACGGGCTTGCCTAGACACTGTGCTTGCCTTTGTAAAATAGGCATGCTAGCCTCAGTACCTGCTCCCAAGGACTGCAAGGCTTCCATTTGGAGTACTTGGGGCGAGTGGGGTTTCGGCTTTATGGTCTTTTCTCAAAGGCAGCCTTGAACACAAACCCCAACCCGGGTCCCCGAACCTTAAGCTCCAGCTGTACATCCCAGTCCCTGAATCCCGTCCGTACAAAGACGTGGTCTCAAAGATTAGATTTGATTGATGTTTAGACTCCAATATCTTGGGTTTAGGGTTTACATGGCGGGTCACGCATTCCCTTCTTCAACGACGCCGCACCCTGAAACCAGAAGGCAATTGAGGGTTTGGGGTTCCCTTTAAAGTGATCCGGATTGGTGGATTGGCGTGCCCTGCTCGTACTCTCAGTTTTGTGAGCATGGAGAGATTGCCGCCTAGGGCTCAGATATTGGATTTCGCGGTTTTTCGGCCAGGCTTCTGCATTGCGACATGAATATCACTTGAATGGAGCAGCGAAGGAAGCATGATAAACAGACATGTCCCTGAACAGATTCGTAGAGAGTTTCAGTAAAGTAAACAACAGCAGATTCATAGATTCAGACGCAGACAGACAGGCAGGGAGGCAGACAGAGATACAGACACACAGATAGACAGACCGACAGAGAGAACACACGAAGAGAAGGGAAGGGAAGGGAAGAGACGAGAGCGAGAGCGAGAGAGAGAGAGAGACACGCACAAAGAGAGATAGAAATGTGTTCGGATGCAAAATGTACTGAGTTCCTTCTCTATCAAACTGCCGCCCAGCCAGGCCTTTCCTCCGGCAGTTTGCGAAAAAGAGAGAGAGAGAGAGAGCTCTCCCCTGGCTGAGTGGAAGAAGAAGAACAAGAGGGATGTATGCTTTCGCCCACGATCTTGGGGGATTGGGAACGGGGTCACAACTCTCCTGCGAAGCCTGCAACACACAGGTGGGCCATCGGCCCGGGGAGTTTCGAGAGTCACCATCTGTATTCAGTTCCATCTCAGTTCATGCTAGTATGCCCATGTTACGTGATACACTGCTGCTGCTGCTGGGGAGCGCATGTTTCCTATAAGGGATGACATTTGGACATGTCGATACTTCCAAGCCGGCATTTTTGGTCAACAAATGCGGGCGGGCTAAATGCACCGGGGGGCCTGAGCTATTCAATAAATCCACAACCGCGAAACGTTCAAAATCAGAAGACTCCTTGCACCCCCTGCTGCAGATCGCAACTGATTAGTCACGCACACAGACACACACACACACACACCCGCGCGCGCGCGCGCGCGCAGACGCACGAGCACTCAGCACATGCACAAGCACGCGCACGAGCGCGCACAGACACACACACACACACACAAACAAGCACACAAACAAACACAAACAGAAGCACACACACACACACACAAACAAACAGAAACACACACACACACACGCACGCAAAAAACACACGCACAAACACATGCACGCGCATACACACACACACACACACACCAATCACACACCCTCGCAAAACACCAACAAACACACACGCGCACGCATGCACGCACGCACCGCACGCCCACCCCACGCCCGCACGGCCCGCCTGCATGCCCCGCCCCCCCCCCCTCGCCCGACCGTGCGGTTGCGCGGAAACTGGGAGACCCAGCGCCCCAAACCCGAACCGGTGATCCCATCAGGGCCGCTTTCAATGTACGGGCCTCCTGTAGCAGCGACCACGTCGGAGAATGAGACCCTGGACCCCGACAGCGACTGGTCTTTAAATGTTCAGCGTTGCAGGGTTTTGTTGGGATTTGCTATATGCAGCTGGGCATAGCATTTGGAGCATTTTGGAACGGCAATGATTGACCCAAGTAGTATAGGAGCGTATAAATTCGGGGTGTCGGTGAGACAAACAGCAAATACGATTAACTTAACTTGATGCACAGCTTGTTTCGTGCAAGTATAAGGGCAGGTCTAAGCCCCATGCAATCTCGAACGACAACATCTGCATGGAACCCTTTTTACACAGAACCCTATACTCCGCCATATCGTCCTAACTAGTGCTACCCACAGAGCTCCAGCCATCTCCAGACATGGCTTCGTTTAAACGAGGTCTAAAACTACTATAACATGCCTTTCGACTGGATCTCTATCGGTTCTTCAATGCCCCAAGCAATGTAGGAACATTAAGAGTGATTACGTTCAGGGTGTGCGATTTGGTTAGTGATAGTGACGCGAGGGCCCACAAGCCGCAAGCAGCGGTTCTGCGACTCACGGTGTGACGCGGTGCACACTCGATGAATCGAGCCCTCGCCACGGTGTGTACACATATTGGGGGGCTTTTGGGTGGCTGTTGCGTGGGAATCGTGCTCTTGCCGCGCTAAGGGCGCATCTGCATGCATGCGGGAGGCCTTGGGAGTTTCAGGGACCCCCTCAACCCTTGCCCAACGTTGAACACAACCTTGAATGCTACACCCTAGCTAAACCCCTTCATCCGAATCCCTCAACCGTGAAGTTCGTAAAGTATTCTACCTTGGATAAGTCCGGAGACCCTGAAGAACCAGCCCCTGGCTTTAGGACTATGGAGCTCAGACTCGGTTTCGGGATCGACAGTCTCAAGGTCAAGCAGGTCAAGGGGTTTAAGTTTGGTAGCTGCGGAGCTTTGAGTTGAAGAAACGCCAAACCGTGAATCCGATGCCCTGAACACCGCAAGCCTTGAACCTTTAACCGGCCCTAAACTCGAAATCCCAAGACCTTGAAGCATGAAGCCCTGTAAAAACCCCAAGATCTGGGAGTCTCAGAACCTCCGACACCCAAGCATGAAATCCTATGTGGCATCCGCAGCATGAAGACTCCCGAGAAAGGGATGTAAAGTGCGCTTCGAGGTGAAGACTGCCACGATGTGGGTGCACTGGCCCTGACCAAGCTTGCGACCTGTCCGGAGACGTGCTTGATCGGTCTAACTGAAGTTTATGTGTGGTTGTTGTCGTCTGGCCTTTGTAGCTGCTCTCTTCAAACATTGTGTTTCGCCGTTGCGGTTTATTATTGCATAGCTCAGGCCCTACTCTCAGGTACAAGCAGTTGTCTTGGGCTGTGTGTATGATCACGGCCCAGAAAAGCAGGCCCTACAGTAGTGTCGGGTACACTCTCAGCCCTGAAACCTAATCCTAATCCCCGAAGCCCCTTACAGTACTGCGGCACCCAAACCTCATCAATTGCATATGCTACGCTTTAAGCCTACACCGTTCAACCCATGCAAGGCACGAATTGATGCGGTAGGGTGATCGGCCTTGAAGACCCTGACCTGACATGGCATCGCGAGCATCTCGATCAGGGTAAACCTCCAAATCCGAAACGGTGAAGCCGCGTAGCATACATAAGCATATTGAAACTCCCAGAGACCTGGTTGAACGCCTTCACTCACGCCTTCGCCCCTAAAGTCCTTGAAAGCCTTGCATCCTCGAAGACCATGACAGCTTCGACACCCGACCCCTTAACGGGGTGGAGGTCATAAGTAGGGCCGCAGGGGTTACACAGGTTTAGACATAAGAACCTATCTTCTCCAACGCACCGTTAATAGCCTGCGATACTTGTTTACAGAGCATGTACTACATCTTCGGTTTGCTTTAGGAGTTTGCGGCATTGGGATGTTGCTAGATTCTGCTAGACTATCTAAGGCTTCAGGACTTCACGTTCGGAGCTTTTAGGGTTTTGGCGGCTTCGGGTGCGTTTGGGGCTTTGCGGCACTTTGGGGGGTGAGATTGAGTTTGGGCTGCTGGGGGGGATTAGGGCCGGTTAGGGTTTGGCTTTGCTCGACAAGCCTGAGTTGTTCGCAGCGTAGTTCCGCTCAACCCAAAAGCAGATGTGTCCCGAGCCGTCTTTGGGTCACTACAGGAGCTACGGGGCCTTTGGCGGTATACGATTTGGTTATTTAGTTTGCGCAGTTCAAAGAGCCAGAATTGAAAGTGAAAGCCGAACCGCCAAGAGCCTCAATGCCAAAGCCGGAGAGTCCCCACGAAAGCTGAGCTGCCGACCAAGGTCGGCCCGTGGACAGACAGCCAGGAGAGGAGTACTTGCGTTGGATACAGGACTTAGCTGTAAATCCCGAATCCTAAAACATCTAAACCGGTAGCCCCTTAAGCCCCGAACCCAGAAGTAGCAGCTCAAACTCTAAGTCGAGAGCACATGCACCGCATCTCAGGATGCACGGGCCTAGTTGTAAAGTTTAGTTACGAGAGAAACGACACTGTAGACGGCAGAAGCACCCGGCCCTAGCCGCAAAAATAGCAAGCCTACCGCGGCTTGCCAGACCAGCACCCGACCAAATGATGTATAGGGTTTGCAGGGCTCGGGTTCAGGCACAGGGCTCTTTGGTTTGGGGCTTAGGGCCCATGCTGCTGGGGTTTTGGAACGTCAATGTGTGGCTGCGATTTTGGGTTTAGAGAGCACGTGAAGATGAAAAGGTTTTGGGTAAGGGGTTTCGTGGGTGGTTCTATGTAGGGTATAAGCAGCTAGGGGACTTCAAGGAATTACATTTGCAGTTGCTGTACTTATTTGCTGCACTTACGCCTACTCATGAACCTCTGAAGTTTCCTCCCAACTTTCTGACCAGTATCTTCTGTAAGACAAACGGGATCAAGCGGGTGCAATACCCTCTTGCAGGCTGCTGCAGTCTAGACGTATTTTGCTTCTGGAGCGGCACGCCAGCGCTCTCTCGCTCCCTCGCTCTCTCTCCTCTCTTTCTCTCCCTCCCTCTCTCTCTCTCT